TTTTTTTTTTTTTTTTTTTTTTTTTTTTTTTTTTAATATTAGAAACCGGAACCATTGGGAACTGTAACTGATTGATTACCTGGTAAACACAACAGATATACACACACACACGCACACACACACACATACATACATACGGCTGTAGTTGCTTAAGCTCACATACTCGAAAGAAAAGAACGCAAGAAGAAGAAAAAAAAACAGGATAGATAAAGAAGAAAAAATACGGGTGTTCCAAAATGTTATTTGCAATACAACTGAAAAATACAGAAGAAGAAGAAGAAAAAGAAGAAGAAGAAAAAGATGAAGATGGAGATGGAGAAACAATGACAACAGAAAAAAAAACTAAAGCTATTGTATCTGAATTTATCAGTTTGTTTTCAAATATAGAAGAACAACTTTTTTTTTTTTCGTTTTCCCCATCATCACCTGTTGGTAGTGTTCAATTTTTTTCACCTGATTAAAGACAACGTTTCGACCACGTTTCACATTTGAATTTTGCGATTTTCCGCCCGGTACCAATGCCACCTTACAATATGCATGAATTTCCAGCTCAGGTTTCAGTTGACCGGCCAAACCTGCGATACTACTATAAGATTAGCAGCAGAAAAGAACATTAAAAAATAAAAAGAGAAAAAATAACAAAGAAAATCCTATCAACAGCAGTCACCAGGAAAAAAAAGATATAGAACTAATTAATAATACTGGCAGAACGAAGAAAAATTTTGACCAGAAACAAAAATTGTGAAAAAAAAAAGAGAAGTGTGGAAAAGAAAGTGGTAAAAAAAGTTATTAGACATGAAAGGAAAAGTGACAAAAAAATTCTTTTTTTTCCTTTTTTCCTTCGTTCTTTCTTTTTCCTTTTACCCTCCATTTTCCTCAGCTTTCTTTTTTTCTTTTTTTTTTTTCAAATGTCGCTTTTCACCCAGTTCAGTTAAGTTTTGACTTGTTGTTGTCGCAGCTTATGAAATTGATTCTAAAATTGTGATTTTTTTTTTTTTCATTGAGAATATCTAATAAGGTGTTATAGGAAATATGTATGTATTACAACATAATAAGAGAAGAAATTTTGCGAAATCTTTTTCTTTTGCTGTTGCTTATATTTCAAAGAAATAAAAATGAAAAGTAAGGAGCGAAAAAAAAACAATTGTTAAGGAAAGCTAAAAAAAGCAGATGAATGCAGAGTAAAAATATGTATGATAAATTCAACGAAAAAAATAACAATTTTCTTTAGGTTGTGAAATATAGTTTTTTTTTCTACTTTCCTCTTAAATTTGTTCTATTATTATTTTTTTTTTGTTTTTCTTTTATTAATTGAACAAATATAAAATGGAAGAAAAAAAAAACGAAAAAACAATTTTTTCTGTTCTTTTTAAAAAAAAAAGAAGGACAAAAATTTTTTTCTCTTGGAAACACTACCTTCGGCTTTTAAAATTGAGACACGTAGACGTTTACGGATAGGGAAGTGTTGTAAAGTTGCTTGAATCAAGCCGAGTCCAGATGGCCTTGGCTCATTTTCTGGCCAAGAACTACTGGTTGGCACCACATTTTCGCTAACTATGTCAGGTACGGAGCTTGACAAGGCTGTTGCCGCTCTTTGGTACAACGACGGATCAATTCCATGTGCCGAAAGAGCAGACAAATCTTCAGCCTCGCTACTAGATTTGCTAGTCAACTGTAATGATGACACTTCGCACTGAAAACTTCTGGGAAGCAAAACTGTTGAGCATACAGGTGATTCAGAAAGACAAAGTTTAAAAATACTGTACCTGTTCCATAGATGGTGACAATGAAGAACTTTGAGAAGGTGCATTTGTGCTAGATGGAGTGCCGCCGGAATGATCGAATGAATTTTCTTCCTTTTGTAACAACGGTCTTACTATTTTAATAGAATTATACGATGGTGGTTGTGCTTCCGAATATTTTCTTCCCATTGCACTTGCCACCGGCCAATCATTTTCGGCGACAACCGGAGGAACCGGAAGTCTTCGCCGGGATGGCGGACGTTCTAGAGATGCTGAAGGTGGTCGTAATTCAGGTGATACAGGCGGGGGCGTCGGAAGGATGCGAGGTGATGATGAACGCCGAGTTGGCGTCGGCGGTAGCCGACGTCTCCCTGGTTCCAGATACGACGACGGATATTCCGACATCTCATGCATTGCTACCAATGGTCACTCTATTGATTCCATGCAATCTCAAAGGGGCGGAGCCCGCTGTTGATTAAGCATTGCATTCCGATAAGAATGCAAGAAGCTTAGAGACTCGAACAGACAATTAAGCAATGAAAGTGAAGAGCAAGGCAGTGACAGATTTGCGGAAATAGTGTACCGGTATGAAGAGAAACAGATAACAACAGGTAGGAGGTAGGAGGTGGATTGAACTATTTCGGGACTAGCACAAGAGGGGAGGGGGATTTAGTTTACACTATTTCAAATACATCTCAGAGAGCAGAGCTTCTGTGTCAGTACTCGGCCTAGTTCGATAGCCTCCAGGCGGCTGCTGCAATCCACAGAGTTACAGTTGTATTGAAAGCATCATCATGTCCGGATCCCTGTACAGAAGTCCTTCAGCCGCTGTCTATAAAAGTCCCTCAATGAGTGGATTTGGTGCTGCTCCTTTCGCTAGCATGTCTGTTGCTGATCTTGGCAGCCTTACTCGGCTGGAGGTATGTTTGTCTACAGCGAAAACTTCACCAGTCACGTCAACTTCTGTTCTCCATCTCCCACAAAAAATTGCTACTCTGCTCAAAAATACTTTTTTTTTTTTTTGCTTTCACTAGATTACTGTTCAGGAAACCTACTCTTCAAATATACAACCAATCTGAATACTTTTTTTTTTCCTGATAACTTACAGTAATGTATATTACTGTATTTTTACGAAAACTGTTCATTATCTGTTTTAAACAGGTTTAATTTTAGGATAAAATCCGCCTTTTACAAGAGGACCTCGAATCTGAGCGTGAGCTTCGTAATCGAGTAAATTTTTTGCTCTACTTTTTTTTTTCAACTGTTCCAATGAGTTGCTCAATTTTTGATTAAATAATCTTGCAAACCATTCAGTTTTTTCTATTCTTTATTCTATTTCCTTTTTTTTCAATTATGCTTTAAAATAATTAGTAGATCTTTAATTACTTTTATTCTGTACTGTTCGATATACACAAACGAAGGAAAAAAAGAAAAGAAAGGAAAGAAATTAAATTGCTTTATTTCGTTTTTATTTTTTATTTTTGCAGTAAGAAAATGCTTTAAAAATAATCGAGATTCTGTTTTCCTGCCTTTTTTTCCTCTCTCTTTTATTTTGTTTTAACAGAATTAGCTTGGTTAATATAGTCAATGTGTTTTACGAGAAAAAATTTTTTGAAAAATGGGATTAATTCTGCATCTTCAGTGTAAGACAGAAACTTTTTTCGTTTAGATTGAAAGGGAAAGAGCTGACCTTAGTGTTCAACTGATTGCATTAACAGACCGATTAGAGGATGCCGAAGGTACAACTGATAGTCAGGTGCACATTTCAACGTTTATCTTCTCACATACAACTATACAATACTTCTATTATATATTCATCAAAGTTTTTTAGTTTATTTTTTTTCACTTCATTTCACCAATCAGTTTTCTTATTTTGTCTTTCAAATGCTTCATTTTTTTCTTTTAATTTGTTCAGCCTTAGCAAAAAAAGGGTGAGAAAGTGAAAAAAATAATCGTACAGAAAATGAAGTGGAAGAAATGATACTGAAAAATTTAATATCTGAACGAAGCAACAAATATCAACTGCACGACAAATATCCACAGTAAAAAAAAATACGACAAGTGTGTATGTTTGTATTTTTTACTTTTTTTCTTCCGATTATAGATTGAATCGAATCGTAAACGTGAAGCCGAATTACAAAAGTTGAGAAAACTTCTTGAAGAATCTCAACTTGAAAATGAGGATGCTATGAATGTTTTGAGGAAGAAGCATCAAGATGCCTGTTTGGACTACACTGAGCAAATTGAGCAACTGCAGAAGAAAAACTCAAAGTATTATCGTTTCCATCAGCCAGTTTTTTTTTCATCTTTATTCCATCAACAGCTTAACTTTTGCAACTTTCTCTTCTTTTTTCATTTCTCTTTATCCCTCCTTTATTCACTGAAAGCCAGACAACTTTTGATGCTTTTTTTAAAACATCTTATCCACAAAAAATATTCACATATAAAACACACACACACTTAACATCTACATGAAAGATATCGACGTATACACTATACTAACTTACTGTCTTTGTTTTACTGTTCTTTTTCTCGGAGTATGGAAAAAAACAGGCAAATCTTTACATCCCAAAGATAAAATGTATAGTTTTTCATGATTACGAAAGAAAATTCCATTTTTTTTTCATCATTTTTATTTGTATTTCTTTTTTTCTTGTTGTTTCTTCAAAAACGCCTACACAACCGATATACAAAAGCTGGCAATAAAATTTGAAGGCGCAAAATGAAGGTTTTGTGAGATGAGTTTTACGAAGGGAGAAATGGGGGAGGACGAGGGATGGTTTGTATTATGCGATCGAAAGCAGAGACTAAAGGAGAGCCGAGTCTTTTTGTCTCCTACTGCTTTTTTTCAGCCTCTCTCTACTCTGCCCGTTCTTCGTTTTCACTGTTTTCATTGGCCTGTGTCTTATTTCACCCTTCATCTTTATTCTCTTGTTTTTGTCTTAATATTTTTACAGAAAAAAAAGCATAAGAAGATGAAGAAGAAGAAGAAGAAGAAGAAAAAGAATTTTTTTTTTTGACACATTTTCTTAGAAACAACAGAAGTAATGAATTTCTGAGTTGAAAAACGTTAAACGTTTCAGAGACTGACAGACGGCAAAACGAAAAAATTTGTGCGTTTTTAAGTGAGCAAAAATTTTTTTTTTGAAGGAAAACTTTTCAACAATACTTCTCTGAGTGCTTTAAAAGAGTGCATTGAATATGATTATGAAGCAAAAATAACACACACTCACATAATACACATACATATATGAATTCACTCACTATTTCACTCAGTTACACAAATTCAGGCGCATACACACACACACACACACACACACACACACACACACAGACACGCACACACATACACTTAGATATATACACATACAATTACACGTACACATAAATCCTTCAAAAGGATTCAGACATTCAGATACATATCTACGCTTACAGATATACCACTTCTCCAACAAATATAAATATATAATTGTCTTTAAAAAGGATGAAAAAAAAAACATACTAACAAATACGCACACAAACAAACAACAAAAATAAGAAGCAGTAAAACTTTTCGAAACTTTTTTTTTTTTTTGTTGTTGTATCTGCCATTTCTGATTTATCAGTCTATTTACAGGATTGATCGTGAACGTCAACGTCTTCAACATGAAGTTATTGAGCTTACCGCAACCATTGACCAACTTCAGAAGGATAAAGTGGATTATTATTATTATTATTATTATTTTACTATTCTTTTTTCTTTTATTCCTTCTTTCTGCCTAATTTTCCTCTTTTTTACAAACTTTACAATCTAATTTGTTTTTTTTTTTTCTGTCTAGTATTTAGTCATTAGGCTTGCTGCTTCCAATCAGTTTCCAAGCGCCCATTGCTCGGTGAACATTGCAAGCAACAGCACACATTGAACAACAACAGAACTTTTATCCAGTTGCTGACTCGGTGTTGTTGTTGTTGTTGTTGCCTATTGTTGTTGCTGTTGCTGCTGGTCTGACGATGTTGATACTGCTGCTGCTGCAGCCAGGATGATGCTAATCGACAGAGCGGCATCATCAACCAGCCAACTAACAGCATCCATCCAAACTAATCCAACATTGTTGTCACTGCAGTAGTCTCTGAGCAATTAGTGTTTTCCGCACAAACTTCCTCCTCTCTTCGCCTATTTTATCGTAATTGTTATTTTTTTATTATTTGTTTCATTTTTTTTTTGTTTTGTTTTAGTTTTTTCTTCCACTGATCTACACCGATACTGTAGGGAATGATTTAGACTTTACAGAAACAGGTTTTCTGACTGCAAAGAAAGCTTTTTGTTTTGTTTTGTTTTGTTTTTTTGTCCTTTCTTGCCCTCTTTCATCTACTTCATCTATTCCCACAGTTTCGTAATGATTAGATTTCCTGGCCATTTGTTTAGCACTAGTAAATCTTTTTTCCCCTCCTACAAAAACAAATTTTTACGTCAGCGTTCTCTGGTTGTCTTCATCAATTAGGATGCCTGAACAAAGATTTGGAATTGCAATCATAGCAGTAGAAGAAAGAAATTGTTTCTTTTTAAATAACTAATTGAAAAGACATTTCAAGAACAGTAAGAACCAAAACAATAACAACAACAACAAATAAAAAACAAAATTGTACTAAGCAAGAAAAAAACTGAAAGGAAAAAAACGACGACAAAAAATTAAATTTTGTCTTTTTTTTCGTTCTTACTTCCTTTCTAGTTGATATTCCTGTTTCTTCAACTTTATTTTTCTGCTTTTATTGATCCATTAAGGATATCTTCAAAATCTTCTTGTTGTGACCAAAATAAGGTGTAGAAAATTGACAAGGTTGATTAAGCAAGAAAGAAGAAACAATTATTTAGAACATTCTAAATGTTTGTCTTCACGGCGATCTGCTTGGTTCTGACTTTTACTTCCTCTGATTAAAAATTTTTGGTTAGGGAATAAAGAAAAAAAAAGAAGAAGAATGTACTAGGCTTGTATTTTTTTCCACTCCCTCCTTTCCACTCTTCTCCCTGTTTTTTTTCTTTTTGTTGCTATTACTGCTTCAGGTCTTCTAAACGTGCCATTCATTATCTGTACAAATAGTTTCTTCAGCCAGGCTGAACATCATAAGTAGTTTTGCAGAAAGTTGGGAAAAAAATGAAAGAAGAAAGGAATTTTTTGTGACTTTTTTATTTTAGCATGCTGCTGAAAAAGCCGCTGAACGTTTTGAAGCACAAGCTGCAGAACTTAGTAATAAAGTTGAAGATCTTAACAAACACGTAAATGAACTGGCTCAACAAAGGCAACGACTTCAAGCTGAGAACAATGACTTGCTGAAAGAGGTTTTTAATCTTTTACAGAACAGCTCCCTTCATTTTCGCTTTTAAAGCTTCCCCGTGACTACGGTAAACAAATATCAGATGTTTCGCTTGGGTTTGTACGTTACGTTCGTTTGGTTCGATTAGGCTAGTAAAAAAGAAAAAAAAATAATTTTTTTCTTTTTTTTGCCGAACATTATTCATCCAATCCGTTTGCCTTTTGAACTTCCGGATATCCAGCAGAAATGATAAACAATTTGTATATTTACCTTAGGTTCATGATCAAAAAGTACAACTTGACAACCTCCAGCACGTCAAATATCAATTGGCTCAACAGCTTGAAGAGGCCCGCAGACGTCTTGAAGATGCTGAACGCGTATGTTTTTTTTTCACTTTTTTTTTTTATCACTCCTCGACACCCCTCAGTTTTTTTTTCTTTTTTTTGCTTTTGAATAATTGTTTTTGCCTTCTCTTTCTGGCTGCCTTTTTTTTTAGCAGATTACTAACTCAAATAAATTTTCCCTGTTGTTGTTATTTTTTTGCTTTGTCGATCGCTTTCTCTTTCTTTTTTTTTTTTTTTTTTTGGTTGGCTAGGAAACCCTTTAGTCGGAACTTGGTTAATGTTATTTTAGATCAAACAAATTTGCATAAACGTATAAACTTTCGCTCCTTATAGGAACGATCACAAATTCAAGCCCAACTACACCAAGTGCAATTGGAACTTGATTCCGTCCGTACTGCTCTCGACGAAGAATCTGCAGCTCGAGCTGAAGCTGAACATAAACTCACACTAGCAAACACAGAAATTACTCAGTGGAAGAGCAAATTTGATGCTGAAGTGGCACTCCATCATGAAGAGGCGAATTTAAATTGAATTTTTTTTTATTTCAGTAATTCTTCCTTATGTTTGCGATACGCAAAGAAGGAATTTTTTGAATCGAAAAAGTGATTATTGGGACTGAAAATAACTGTTCGACAACGGATGACAGTAAAAAAGACAGGACAAAGTTTTTCTGCTGTAATGAGGGAAACTTTAGGTTGAAGATTTACGAAAGAAGATGCTACAAAAACAAGCCGAATATGAAGAACAGATTGAAGTTATGCTACAGAAGATTTCACAGCTTGAGAAAGTTAAATCACGTTTGCAAAGTGAAGTTGAAGTGCTTATTGTGGACCTTGAAAAGGCCAACAACACAATTGCTATCTTGGAACGTGCCAAAGAACAGCTCGAAAAGACTGTCAATGAACTTAAGGTTGGTACTAGAGCAGATAACCGTCTGCAGAAATCATCAGTAAATGCCAACAGTATCATGAAAAGCTTCTGATTTTTTAAAAACTCATTCAGTTTTGAAATCAGTGCATTGATTATGATCAATGCTGCATTTTGAAGAAAAAGAATAATTTCAATTTTCAAAATTTGCTTAATGTCTTTTAAATGTTCCTTACGCAGCTAAATTTAGACTCGAATCGATGAACTTACTGTTGAACTCGAAGCCGCACAACGTGAAGCTCGCGCAGCGTTAGCTGAATTACAGAAGATGAAACAGCTTTACGAAAAGGCTGTTGAACAGAAAGAAGCGTTGGCAAGAGAAAACAAGAAACTACAAGGTCTGCGTGACAGCTGTTTAGCCAACATTGGCCACTTTTTTGCAACAACAATCTGGACACTAATGCGCTAAAGAAACTATTGCACCAGCAAGGATAAAATCGTCAAAGCAACATTTTCACTTGTGTATTTTAGAAGAACTCCATGAAGCTAAAGAAGCTCTTGCTGATGCAAACCGTAAACTGCATGAACTTGATTTGGAGAATGCACGTTTGGCTGGTGAAATTCGTGACCTTCAAACAACCCTTAAAGAAGCTGATGCTGCTCGTCGCGAAGCCGAAAACCGTGCTCAACGCGCCATTGCTGAACTTCAGCAGCTTCGCGTTGAAATGGAAAGAAGACTGCAAGAAAAGGTACTGAACAGATAAATCTCCAGCAGAAATTTAAGGAGAAAAAAAAGGCAGAAGGGTCACATCTAGCTAATCAAAGTTCCTTTTTAGGAAGAAGAGATGGAAGCACTCCGCAAGAATATGCAGTTTGAAATTGACCGACTTACCGCTGCGTTAGCTGATGCCGAAGCCCGTATGAAGGTTTGTGCTCTAAAGAGACTGCTAATTGTATTTAAATACACTTCTACAGTGATTAGAAAGGCGTAGAGGATTTCTTCTGGGGTGGCAATTTTGAAAAGAAAAATTGCAGGCTGAAATTGCCCGCCTTAAGAAGAAGTATCAAGCAGAAATCGCAGAACTTGAGATGAACCTGGATAATCTGAACCGCGCCAACATTGAGGCACAGAAAACAATCAAGAAACAGAGTGAACAACTTAAAGTGCTCCAGGCTTCACTCGAAGACACCCAACGCCAGTTGCAGCAGACTCTCGATCAGGCAAATTTTGCGTCCTAGAAAACTGCTTGTGTTAAATATTCTATCAAGTCAGAAGCTTACTTGTCAACTTTTTAGTATGCATTGTCGCAACGCAAGGTGTCGGCCCTAAGCGCTGAACTCGAGGAATGCAAGGTTGCCCTCGACAACGCAATCCGCGCCCGCAAACAAGCTGAAATCGACTTGGAGGAAGCCACCGTAATTAACTCCTTTCAGTCGCCCTTGCTATTTGTCATTGTAGATATTTTTGCGTAAAGTCCGTATAACGTCCTTTTTCTTCCAGAGCCGGGTTGCTGATCTCACCTCAATCAATAGCAACTTGACTTCCATCAAAAACAAGCTTGAAACCGAACTCTCTACTGCCCAAGCAGATCTTGACGAAGTTACTAAGGAATTACACGCTGCCGATGAGCGTGCCAACCGTGCACTTGCTGATGCCGCTCGCGCTGTCGAACAACTTCATGAAGAACAGGAGCACTCGATGAAGATTGACGCGCTCCGAAAGTCGCTTGAAGAACAAGTTCGTTTGCCCTTTAAAAGCATTGGAAAGCATTATTTTGCTTCACTAGTATGAATCGCGCTTTATGCTTTTTCCTTTTCAGGTCAAACAACTTCAAGTACAAATCCAGGAAGCTGAAGCGGCCGCACTTCTTGGTGGCAAACGTGTTATTGCTAAATTGGAAACTCGTATTCGTGATTTGGAAACCGCATTGGATGAAGAAAGTAGACGTCATAAGGAAACTCAAAATGCTCTTAGGAAGAAGGATCGCAGGATCAAGGAAGTGCAGATGCAAATTGATGAGGAACACAAGAACTACATTATGGCTCAGGATACTGTTGATAGACTAATGGAAAAACTGAACATTCAGAAGAGACAACTTAGTGAAGCGGTAAAGCTGTTAATTCAGTTCTTTGTTTTCTACATTCCGGATGATAGCAGTCAGGTGGTATACTGTAGTAAGACATGAAACTGTATAGTTGGCAACCAGACACTAATTTACAGGAATCTTTGACCATGCAAAATCTTCAACGAGTACGTCGATATCAACGCGACTTGGAAGATGCCGAAGGTCGTGCTGACCAAGCCGAAAGTTCGCTTCAACTTATTCGCGCTAAACATCGCTCGTCTGTTGTAGCTGGTAAAAGCGCATCGTCGACGAAGGTTTATGTTCTAGAAGATGAACAGTAAAAAGTTTATAAAATACAAGAAGAAATTTCTTTTTGTTTTGTATTTGTTTTTTTTTTCATCCTGTTTAGTATGAGGATATTCGCAAAGGAAATTAGAGTCCGTGATCCAGAAAAATCCTGGTGTACAGAGAGATTGCAGATTTGTTTTTTTCTGATATATTCAATTTTTATCCACCAATTCTCTTTCACCTGATAAGCCATTCATTTTTTTTTTTTTGAATATGCTTGTGTGCCTTCATTTATACAACTTTGATGTCAGTGTTATCATCATAACTATTACCATCACTATTACCATCATCGTCATCATCAATACCATTTATTGTGCTAGCTTTTTCAACTCACAGATTTTTTGTCGTGTGCATAATTTTTTTATGTTGCATCAGATTTTCTTTCCTCGAAAAATCAAAAAAAAAAACAAAATTAAAAAAATCTAACCACTTTATAATTAGCGGGCCTTTGTATATTATGCCTTATGTTTGATTAATATGTGCCTTAGATTAGTCTCTTGTTTTTTTTTTTCTTTTGATTAAGCGGGATTTTAACTGCCTTTCTTTTTTTGATTATATAAGCCTTAAAGACGATGCTTTTATTTGACAATTCTTCCTCTTTTTTTGTTCACTGTTTTATATTATTGGATGCAATTTTTTGTCTTGAGCCATTTACCGTTGTTCCTTATTTGTCTTCCGCTGATGATACTGCACTGCTACTGGTAACACTGAACAAATCACATATTAGACATCAATTTTGTGTTTTGCTCAAATAAAAAAAAAAACAAAAAATACTCCGAAAAAAGACCATCTTGTAAAACAGAAGAAACATGAAGTATATTAGGCAAAAGAAAAGAAAGAAAAACTTCTGTATCTCTCTCAAAACTGAACTGTATGTATGTTCCTTCGGTTCTGTAAAAGTGTCTTATCAAAATATTATTTTTTTTCAAGCTTTTTTTTCATCATCGTCCCCTATAATTTTTATTGTTAACGTGGTTAAAATTATGTGAAAATTTTTTTCTTCTTTTCTCTAATGTTTTTCTTGTATTTAAACTGGTTGAAATCAGATGCAAAACAAGAAGGAATAATTCAATATTTTATTTCTAATATCGATCTTGCTCGAAACATCTTACAAAAACATTAGCATCATCATAGATCTGATAAATTAGCAACATCAACTTCAAGTTTTCCTATCCCTGCTCCGCTTTCTTATGCCACTTTTTCAGTTCATTTTCACCAGCTTTTCGTAATTTGGAAAAAATAGCGTAAACTTCATTGAAGCTGCTGCTGCTGTTGCTGCCGCCGCAGCCGCTGCTGGGTGCAGTTGTTGTTGTTGAAATGCGAAAACGACAAACGACTGGCTTTTCCAAATGGTTTATCAACAGTACTTTACACTATTTCAAATAGCAACACATCACAGTTTCCCTTCTGATTCACTCATTCACTTATCCCACTCTTTCACTCGCACATACAAACATACACGCACAAAAACACATACAAAGATATATACAAATGCGCTCACACAGACACGCACACACACATTGTCGATCCGGTTCCTCAGCGTAACTATACAGCTGTTGGTGTTTAAAATCTGTGGGAGAAGACAGAAACAGTGCAGGGATGCGTAAGCGTGAAGCGAAAAAAAGCGATTGAAAGCAACACTTCTTCTTTGATGAACAAAGTTTTTACGGTGAAGAAGGAGAAAAAAAAGAGAAAGAAGATGGTGGAGAAGGGAAGAAGGAAAAGAAAAGAAGATGGAGATTTTTGGTGGAAAAAATGAATGAAAGATAGAAGGATAAATGAAGATTTTTTACTCTGCCTTTTTTTTCTTAACTTTGAACGTTGTTGCTAAACAAACAATTATTTTATGGTTGTATTTGCCTGCTGAGATGTATTAATTCGGCTTTTTCATCCCGCTGCACTGGTACTGATATTTATTCAGCGGAAAAGTAACAGCACGAAGAGAGCAGCAGAAACGGCAACTTAAGATGAAGAAGAAAAAGAAGGCGGTGATGATGATGATGACGACACATTCTGATTTTTTTTTCTTCTGCACAAATTTTA